AAGGGTCATCCCTTGCGTTTTGCGCAGGTAGTTACATTTTTGAGTAACACTGAATACTTTCTGTTTGATTATCAGCCTTGTTATTTGATTATCAGCCGCCAAGATGAGCATGTTCTCTAGTTTTCCTGTGATTGCTCTCTAACCCTAGAGCTAGCTCAAGGATAGACAACAGGTGGGCTCATGGGCTACAAGGGGGCCTCCTCTTCCTTTCTGTCTCCTTCCAAACTTCATGCTACCAAATTTCAGTAGTGTGGCAGCAAAAAAGCTGCCTTAAAAAAAAAGACACGGTGCATGGTCCCATCTTTAACAACCACAAAAAGTGTCACTTTCTTTTATATTATAGTACGCAGTGAATTAAAATGCTGTGGTGGCAGGATGCACCCCATAATGTGTTGGGCAGGTGCAATGAAGCCCTCCTGCCTCTAGAAAATTGCCTGTCCCTGCTCTGTTCTTACAGCCACAGAATGTTGTCCTCCTCCATTTACTTTGACAGGCCTACTGAGCCCATACTGACATCTGATATGATAGATAAATATTTCAAATAAATCATTCCTATGAACCTAGGAGAGTCACAGGCTCACCAGCCTCACATGCATTTCTCACTTTCTGGGACAGGTGTAGAGAGAGACGACCAGACGCTATCACCTCCATTTCTCCTTATGCACAGCTATGCCCACAATGGGGAAAACTATCATTCGTGGGGACTGATGGTAGGGCCTCCTTGGTTGTGGTCTCCTGATTTTGAAACTCTCTCCAGATGGAGAACCACTACACAGTGAGTCTGATTTCTGGGGAGAGGAGACAGGTGAATACCTTTTTATCTCGCAGACTTGGCTTTTTCCATCTCTGTTGCTACTGTTTTCCCTTCAAATCAGAATGGAGAAATAACTGAGAGTATCTAAAATATTTCATGAGGAGAGGGAAATAAATAGACAGAGAAAAGCACACATATATTGGATGCAATTGTTATACAAGCCAATAAGTTTATCTGTGCTTGTATCTGTGTTCTACAAAGAATGGCTAATCAATTCTAATTGAGGCACTTCAGTCAGCTTTTTTAGAGGGAAAACAAAAAAGGAGCAAAGAGCAGACTTCATTAATGCGATGATGCTTACAGTGTGATATACACCAGTCTGCCAAGACAAGGAGACAGAAACTCCACCATCCCCACCACCAGTCCTCTAGCAATCATTCAAATGGTATTTGGGGCGGCACTGAGCAACTGATGCAGGGAATCTCTGCACACCTACATATACTTATGCTGCTCAGCAAATACTGATGGAGCATAAGATGCTCTGAAGGAGGAGGAAGAGGAGAGGAAGAGAAAAAGAAGACGAGCAGAAGGGGGTGGGACAGAGGAGAAGCATTAGCAGTGATATTTCCCAAGGCAACAAAAGACACAAGTTGTCTATCCAAAGTCAGTCTCACCTTTTTCAAAATCAGAATTTAGTTGTCATTTCACTTACTTATTTGGCTTCTCTGTTTTTAAAATTAAAGCAGCGTAATTCCAGAAGATTCTGAGTAAACCCTCAAAAAAGACAACTGCCTCATGGAGACAGCCAAATAAAATTTGGAGTGTGTAATTATTTTTACATAGAACCAGAAAAGAAGAAACAGAACTACACATGAATACAGAGAGAGAGAGAGAGAGAGAGAGGAACCGTGTAACACAGCAGGCTGCAGGAGGAGAGCAGAAGTCAAAATAATTTGGTAATGGTGCCTTACAAAAACAAAATTATCATTTCGCTCACATAATACATGTCTGGATTAAAGCAACTGTGTTTGCTATTGTTAGAAACACAAGCAAGCTTTCCGGTTTAGTTTTTTCCCTTCCTGCATCTCATTCCAACCAATTGTTGTGTCCATTCTGATGGGTCTAATAAAGGTATTTCCACAAGATGAATGCTGAAGTTTGCCTTGCAGCCAGAACGGCTACTTTCTGACGTCCAAAGCCTCCCTTACATAGTCCCAGGCTAGTGATTACAACCCAGTTTAAAGTTCAAAAAGAAAACACAATTATTTTGTCTCCTTTCTTGGATTTCATAACAGAAGGCAGGCCAGAGCCAAAGGGCCCCTTGATAAAGCATTAGTCTGCCAAAGCCAAGAAAGGCTATTCTCAGATCTGAGATATACGCCTGCAGAATCAATCTTTGGGAAAACTGTGCAAACTACGTGCTATAATTGCATGGTTAGCGATATAAAAATTTCATGCGCCATATGCTACATCAGCAATCGCTCTATGAAATCTCTGCCTCATGGCTGCTCTAATTTACACTTGCTGATAATGAGCCTCGAGAAGTCAAGAGGTCAACCACAGATGGGCTACTGGAGCGCTCTTGATGTTTAAAGTCCTTGAAGTGGAAGGAGGTGGCAAAAAAAGAAGCTAGGAAGACCACTCTTGAATTCTCTCCCACCACAGAAAAGGAAGAGCTGATACAAAGTGTGGTTTAATGGCCTCTTTCTTTGAATCAAGGAGTCTAAGAAAGCAACATGAAAATAGTCAAGTTTTAATAGACTCTCCCATCACCTTCTTCTGCCTTGACTGAAAATTTCACCTGCCTTTCACCTATCCTGCTATCAGTGTTGTGTGTGAATTCCAAGAGGACTGGCCCTTATCTGTAACAGCAAATGAACACAATTGATGCTGAGGTGTGAACAGACAGTGCCTGGGCCCCAGCCACATAGCTACTGCATTCTTCCTGAATCCTGCCAGCTGACAGTGTATACAAACCAAAGACAAAGCTCACAATGCAGAGGCTTTTCATTCTAACTGTGCATGCTGTAAGCAAACAGCCCCGAGGAAATGAGTTACTTACACCAGATTAAGCAATTTGCCACAGTGTCTCAGTAAATTGTAATTGTATGGCATACAGCGCTCTAAACATTCAGCACAGAATATTCAATGAACACACGATGCTAGATCTGTAATTCCAAGAAACGTGATAATTGCTCTCCCTCCCCCTTCTCACGAACATGCACACACACTCATTTGTGTACGGAAGTCAGAACTGTCAGATTGCTGACAGACGGCTAAGAGAAAGAGAGCACATATCCCACAGCCTGGGGAGTGGGTGGGTCTGCCATTACATTTTGGTTACCCCCATGTAATTACAGGCAAACCCACTCACTGAGTTTCATAAATTTCCAAAGACGTAACTGTTAGCCTGTCTCAGCATGCCATCAAGAAAAACAAAGGGAAAATATTGTAGCACTTTAGAGATCAACAGATTTTTTTTTTACAGCATGGACTTCCATAGATTGAAGTCCACTTTTTCAAACACAAGTAGTAAAAATACATACCCCTTGCATTTCCACAACGGTAAAGAGTCTGGAATGTTTTCAAATCTAAAAAGTCACAGCAATTTTAATTTTTTTGTGTAAATCTATGGAAGGTGTGAAGAGTTCAATTTCCACATTTCAACTCATGTATCAAGTCCAAATCAATCGGAAGCAAATTAGAACTGAAATTAAAAGGCTGAACTAGGCTGAAACAGTCCTATTTTAAAACATTTCCCCTTTACAGTATGGAATTGATTGATGTTTAATAGATAAAATAAATCATGACTGCTTGGCCTTTTCAAACACAGATTAGCTTCAGTCTGGTTCCTGGTGGAGAGAACTGTGGATGATAACACAGCCATCACAGTAGGCACCCAAGAACAATCCCATTGGTTTCAGTGCATCAAAGGGTAGCAGTAATTAAGGCAAATATATATGCTGTGGATACTAGCCAAAGTTAACCAAACTAGATTACAGAATGTAGTACACATCAAACCCACACATGGTACTGGGCATATACACCTGACCAGAGCAAAGAGAAGTCAACTTTTAGGAATGCAGAAAGCCCCTACAAGCATAAGTAGATGGTTCGTCACCACTGTCAACACAAATGTGCATTTTCCTTATAACTATCAGATACCCAGAAGACTGCAGAAACAGGCCTTAAGACTAGACATGGAGATGGATATAAAAACAAATCAAGGTATTCGTTAAATATCCGATTCGTAAGATATTCAATGCTTCATATTTTTGGGGTCCAGAGGCTCCAACAAATACAAAGCAATTAATATAACCCTTTTATACTTGTCCCTTCATTCTCTATCTATGTATGCACCCACGGATCAGCTGTTTCTCAGAGACATAATCAGAGAGGGTTTTTCCCCCTTCGGGTGGCTTGCTAAAGCCTGCCCAAAAGGAATCCCACCCCTGGGGCTGGGGGATGGTTTGGTTCTCCTTTCCTCCTCTTTCTATGCCTGCACAGCATAAGAAGAGCAGGGAAGGGATCAAAGAGGGATCAAAGGGATCCCTCAGCCGCTGCCAGATCGCTTTGATCCCTGCTTTCCCCCTTTCTTGCTAAACCCTGTGGGGCTTAGCAAAAGGAGGGGGAAAGGGATCAAAGCAATCCCACAGCAGTGGCTGCACACTCACTTTGCTCCCTGCTTTCCCGCCTCTTGCTGTGCCCTGGGGCATAGCAAGAGGAGGGAAAGCAAAAAACAAAACAAAACAAAAGAAAACAAAAAACCTCGACAAATGACAAATTGATTTGTTGTTTGTCAGGTCACTGGGGAGGGCAATTCGTGGTTGGTCGTCAAACATGACGTTTCATTCATTTTGGCGCTTTGTCCCCATCACTACTTAAGACTTATTTCTTAGATGCAGAAATGAGCTATCACCTTCTCTGCATCAGTGACCACTATATTTCTAAAGCTTCAGAGACAAAGGAAGGAAAGCAGGACACACACTTTGTATGTAGAGGGTCCCAAGTGCATGCAATCCCTGACAGAACCAGTTAAAACCATGTCCAAACAGGCAATAGAAAAGTCCTCTCCTCCCTGGAGAATCTAGAGAGCATCAGACTGAGGAAACAAACCCAGGCCAGAGATCAGTGGCCTGGTATCAGGCAGCTTCCTGTGTTGCTGCTATTGTATCTGGGAGAGAGTGCTGTAGAACCAAAATACGCTCATCAGTACCAAAAACAAACTCTTGGTTGTCACTCTTACCTGATCACAGATCAATTCCCATTTCTTCTCATTGTCGTACTGCCGGAGTAGCCTTGCTTTGTCAGGAGGCAAGTTCATGGCATTCTGCAGAGAAATGGAAAGTGAAGATGGGTGACTACAGCAGGCTTAACACCAAGAGAAGTTGGATGTCAGTACACTATCACAACCATTTCCCTCTGAATTCTCTGTTAACAGAGTTAATCCACAGGGTTCCAGAAAGAGCATCGTGAAACAACATATCTGCAAATGAAGAGAAATAGAAGCAAACAAGTAACTCTCCCTCCCCCTTATCTCCACCCCTCTCCTTCAGTTCAGAACTGCTCAAGGTCTGATGTCTAGAAAACCAACCATGGACACACTTCATATAAAACAATACACTATTCATGATTCAGACAACAAGGCACTTTGGGAGCTTGTTTAAACATAATTAGTTTACAGAGGGGGCACCATGTAAGGAAAAACAGCAAAGGGTCGGTGGCACCTTAAATACTGAACAGTATTATCATGACATAAGTTTTTAAAGCTAGTACCTTTTTCACATGTGTGGCAAGAACTCTTTTAGCCCAGTTTTTGAAGCAAGAGCTATCTGGAAACTTACACAAAACTTTTAAGGTTCACTCACAGGTACCTTTCAATCCATACATAACCCTTCTATGACACTAACACTAACAATAATCCTGTGAAAAGCTGAAGGCAAGAGGAAGACCAAATATGGGACAAACTTAAACCATAAAGGAAGATATGGCCTTGAACTTGGCAAGACCTGTTAGCCGGGCTGTTAATGGCACGACCTTATGGAGAGCATTAAAGCATAAGGTTGCCATAAGTGGGAAGGAACCTGATGGCACCTCACAACTAAATACGTAACTGCCAAGAAATGTGCATTTTAATTGTCACTTGCCATGTTAAGAAAGGTATTTAAGCTGTGTATATTTAAACAGAGTGTAGCCACACCATACATAGAGGGGGAAATTAAGTGGTTTCTTAAAAGTTGCCCAATAGTAATCTGTATATCAGTACAATGAAGGAAAGGATACAAGGGGAAGAGGAAGAAGATTCACTGTATAATCTGCCTGGAAATAAAGAAGCACTGCATACTGTACGAAAAACATGGCACAAGTCTCTTTGTGATCAGTGTTCAGGAACCACAAGACTCTTTGTTATGAAAACCATGTGATGTTTTGAAACAGCGTTCCCCACCTGGGTCTCCTGATGTCAAATTACAATCTCTCTCCTTCCCCACCAGCACCACCAATGACCCCACCGACCAGAACACTTCTGGAGGGTACCAGGTTGCAGAAGTTTATGTGAAAGATTAATATAGGGACAACATACACCATTCTCCCCCCCCCAAAAAAAAAAACTTCACTTGGGTTGGCAAGACAACCAAAAAAGAGAGAGAGAGAGAGGAAAGGATGAAAGTCAAAAAGCAGAAACAACACACCTTGTTTAATAACAAGCTCTTAAGCTGCCACTATTGTTTATCTCCTGGAAAAAGAAGTGTCCACAATGAAAAATCAATGGCTATTATAGTTACAATACAAGTTAAGGCATATTAACTCTAGTTAAAGTTAGGAGAGTTAAAAACTGTCAGGGTTCAGAGTGAAAGCACACAGTGATTTATTAGTTTGCTTCAGATAACTTGTAAAGTTAAGTGGCTAAATGGAATAGTTTAAGTGTTGTTTAGATGGATTTTTATGATTCCACAGAGATTCTGAGTGTGAACTGGGCAGGACATGGCTGAACAAATCCTGGTTATTGTCTTGCTGCAACTAAGAATGATCAAAGAAGCAATTCCTGTAAACATACTGTGACTGAAATCTTGTTTTGCAATTATACAACCAACATAACTTTTAGAGAACTGCCATCAATTAGTTAAGAAATATCCACAGACTTTATCTGTTGCACACCAACTCACACAATTCAGTATGTAGCATATCATCTCTATAGACATTTCTTAACTTGCAGCAATTCATTTCCAAAAGTCATGCTGGTTCCTGTAAACATACTGTGACTGAAATCTTGTTTTGCAATTATACAACCAACATAACTTTTAGAGAACTGCCATCAATTAGTTAAGAAATATCCACAGACTTTATCTGTTGCACACCAACTCACACAATTCAGTATGTAGCATATCATCTCTATAGACATTTCTTAACTTGCAGCAATTCACTTCCAAAAGTCATGCTGTTTGCATAAATGCACAACAAGATTTCAGCCATTGTGTGTTAGGTGCCTTCAAGTCAGTTCTGGCTTATAATAATCCTACTCAGGTTTTCAAAGGTATGTGAGATATTTGAGGAATAGTTTTACCAATGTCACCTCCCAGCGCGTTTCTATTGTTGAACAAGGATTTGAATCCAGGGCAATCTAGACTGGCATTTTATCCACCACAGTACTGTACACTGACTTTACAGGGAAGTATCACAACAACAGTTCCAACAGCCCACTACCGATATTCCACACAAAATGTATACAATACAGGAACTACTATCAGCGGAAGAGGAGGAGATTTAGGGAGCAGGGGAACAGAAGCAAACTGAATAACACTGACTGCCATTAAGTCAGAATAACACTGACTGCCACTAAACCTAACTCCAGCACTGAGACAGAGCATCCTTTTCTCCACCATCCCAGAAGGCAGTTTATGCATCTAACATCAACTCCTGGAAAGGGAAAGGAGCGCTAGGTTCAAGGACAAAAACCTGTGCCTTTTAGGCATCTCACTTTGTGGGTAGTGGGAAAGTCTCCAGGAGGTATTCTGACCCAAGAGGAATGAAATGCCACCATTGAGCTCCAGACCTTCCTGGAACAAGGGACTCACTTAGAACTCTCCAAGGTGCTGCAACATCCTGCCTTGCCTTCTGAGAAGGCTTGTGACTGGTCCAAACATGGCAATGCAACAAAGTACAGTACACAACCAGAATGAGGACACCTGGCATAACCAGGTGTGGAACTTTTTTGACCCAAGAGGAATGAAATGCCACCATTGAGCTCCAGACCTTCCTGGAACAAGGGACTCACTTAGAACTCTCCAAGGTGCTGCAACATCCTGCCTTGCCTTCTGAGAAGGCTTGTGACTGGTCCAAACATGGCAATGCAACAAAGTACAGTACACAACCAGAATGAGGACACCTGGCATAACCAGGTGTGGAACTTTTTATGGCAGAACCTGCCTTGCCTTCTGAGAAGGCTTGTGACGGGTCCAAACATGGCAGAATGATGAACTCCATTCACTCAAAACAAACTGCTGCATGCAGAGTTCTTTGAGTCTCACTCAATGGATACCTTTTTGCACCAGGTTCCAAAACATGGGCCTCGGAGTTCCAGCCAAAACACCACACTCTGAAATCTGCCTACCACTGACTGATGATGATATACCACAAGGCATCCACAGCATATTATAAAGAGTGACAATACATTCATATTTCTGTGGGAAAACTGTGGGTGAAAACAGCAGGTAAAGCTCCAAGGAGATGCCAGTCAGATACATAATGAGGAGATGGATCATCCCCTATTAGAGCATCTCCATGCCAGGGAAAATTTTCATCTGCTTAACTTCTGCCTATCATAAAGCTGTTATTTATTTATTCCTTAGATTTATATACTGCCTCATTAGTGTAATGCACTATGCTGGGTGGTTTACAGCAAGCTAAAACATATAATCATCGTATAAAAATAAAAACAGAATAGAACAGAACAGAATAGAATAGTTAAAGGCGTAGGATCCGCATCAGGAAAAAGGAGTGGAAACATAACCACAAATTCTGACATCAACTAAGAGCCTTTATTATACCAGTTCTTTTTTTTTTAAGAAAGAGATACTGTCTTGAAATGTCACTAAAATGCTAATGAAGTAGTATTTTGGTACAACATCAGGGCAACATTCTGATATTAAAATGTCACTCCACTGAAACAGAAGGAGATAACTTGCATTCTTGGATTCTGTATCCTTTGTAATATGGCCCTTCTCATACGAAGGAAGCACAATGAATTGGAAATAGCAGCTGACAAATCGTGAGTAATAAAATAACTGAATGGATAGAAAAGGTGTTCGTCAAAACAGGTCGGGAAAAGGGCGATCCTCCACAGTCTATACCTTTAGGGCCACTTTGTACATTGTGTTTTAAAGACACAAGCTGCTGTTTCTATGCAGATTCTCCCTCTTCTCCACTCTGATACTGGAGAGACCACACAATCCCCAACAAAAAGTCACCAGTTCTTATTATAATGGCTGCATTTTTTTGTTTTTTTGTTTTTGTTGTTGTTGTTGTTTTAAATGAGCCTAGGCCAGGGTGGATTTGATCATGATTGAAACATTTAAAAAATCAGATTCGTTGATGTTTCAATTAAAATACCAATTTTTTAAAAATGTAAGTTATGATTTAAATCAATTTTATTTTTAAAATATTATTGGTTTTCATCCACCCTGGACTAGTCACATTGTTTCCTCTCTCCTTAGGACTTAACATAAGCTCAGCTGTAAGGCTGGTCTCAAGGGAGGTGGCATGAGCCAGCAGAGCTTATGTCAACAGTCAGCAAATCAGATATTGTTGACGCTTAAGCCAGTGGTTCCTCATCTTGAGTCCCCAGGTGCTGCCAGGCTGCAGGCTCTGCTGGCTAGAGCTTCTGGGAGCTGCGGTCCAAAAGCAACTGGGAAACCAAGGTGGGAACTACTGCTTTAAGCAGCAATCTGCCACATTTGGAGAAGCTGACTAGAACTGCAGATGGGGATATTTCCCTGGCAGCAAAGGTCAGAGCCAATCCTGTCCACCCAGGCTGGTCAGGAAAGATCCAGGGCAGGAGGGCTATAAATGGTTTCCTGTTTGAGCCAGGACCTTTGTGTAAGGAATAAGGTCTTCTTAGCTCTGGTATGTTATTTTCTTTTTTAAAAGCATTTTACTAATTTTTCTTATTTTATTAGTTTTTCGATCTATCTACATTCAATTCATGCTTGTTAAACATTGTGCTACATGGGTTGCTTATAATTCTGTTTTTTGCGTCTTGGTGTCTTCTTAGTTGTCTCTTCAAAATCTATACATTTTTAAACATTTAAACCATTCATGTGTGTATTTTAGTAT